AGCAGCCACATAGCACAGGGAGATCAGCTCAGTGCTTTGTGACCACCTAGAGGGGTGGGATAGGGAGGGTGGGTGGGAGGGAGGGAGACGCAAGAGGGAAGAGGTATGGGAACATATGTATATGTATAACTGATTCACTTTGTTATAAAGCAGAAACTAACACACCATTGTAAAGCAATTATACTCCAATAAAGATGTTAAAAAATAGAAAAGTAAAAATTATACAAATAATATTGGAATAAAATGTCTTACTAGAAAAAAAATTAATGCACAAATCACAGTATTTAGGTGTAATGATAAAGGTGTAATGATAAAGCATTAACAATAATTATTTTGCTGAAATCTTCCTTTAGCTAAGTCATTGCCTAGCAGCCATTTTTCTTTCTCAAACTATTCACACAGTGACAATTTAATGGAAAAAGAGATACCATCTGGAGTGCTTATTAGCGTAACAAGCCCTTGACTGGGAGTCTAAGAAGATTCCCTGTTTCTCATTCCCTCTGAGTGGTTTAACTCCAGAGCCTAACGCTATTGTTTAACCCTAGGGACTGGAGCATGCTTGCCACTAGGGGGTGCTGTTGCTTCTTTACTCCAGCCTCTGGCGGTTTCAATTCTGACTTTATCAGACTTAACAGAAAAAAGGAGGCTTTATCCTTCCCGAGTGTGTTCCTCGTATGCCCCCAGAGTAAGTGGAATATGTTGGAACAATTCAGAACAAAACAAAATAACTAGTAAATGAAATAGACTTGTTAAAATGTTTTCTAGTATCTCTCCGAGATGGACCAGAACAGCTTCTTGATATCATCAGTGGTCTAACAGTTTCATTAGGGTCTGGGGACAGTAACAGTTTTTGAAGTGCTACTTCAGGTCGTGGGGACTAGTGGGGAACAGGGAGTGTGTCTGCAGGAGAAGGGGAGAGGGCTGGGTCCTTGCAGACTCTTCCACAGTCTGGCAGAAATCTGCTTCCCCTTCTGCTGATTCAGTGTTGGCTCAGACACAATTTGCCAAAGCCTGTCACATGTACCAGTTTTGGGGGTTGTTAAAAATAAAAGTTCTGGGACTTCCCTTGTGCACAGTGGTTAAGAATCTGCCTGCCAATGCAGGGGATACAGGTTTGAGCCCTGGTCTGGAAGAGCCTACGTGCCATGGAGCAACTGACCCCGTGCACCACTACTACTGAGCCTACGTGCCACAACTACTGAGCCCACGTGTCACAACTACTGAAACCCGTGCGCCTAGAGCCCATGCTCCGCAACAAGAGAAGCCACTGCAATGAGAAGCCCGCGTATCGCAGCTAAGAGTAGCGCCCGCTTGCCGCAACTAGAGAAAGGCCTGCGCGCAGCAACAAAGACCCAACGCAGCCAAAAATAAAAAATTAATTAAAAAAAAAGTTCTGTGGTCACATGAATTTGGGAAATTTTGGTTTGAAAAAGTTTTAAAAAGTTTTACTTGCTGTAGAACTTTCAGAACATTTAATTGACATTACCCTGTGCATTGCTCTTTGTGAATCTAAGGCTGAGCATTTGCTAGGGGTAGATACTCTAACAGTGGTTCTCAGTGGAGGGTGGTGATTTTGCCTCCAGGGGACATTTGACATTGTCTGGAGACATTTTTTTTTTTTTTTTTTTTTTTTT